CACACCTCAACTGCTAGCAGAGCGCCTCACCCTCCCTGATTGAACTAACCTCGGTATCTCCATACTAATTTATACCTGCCTCTGGAGATTTCCATTACTTGCATCTGAAGAAGTGAGATTCTTACCCACGAAAGCTTATGCTCCCAATACTTCTGTTAGTCTTAGGGTAGGTCTACACTTACCTCCGGGTCCAGCAGTAAGCAATCGATCTTCTGGGATCGATCCCAGAAGTGCTCGCCGTCGACGCCGGTACCCCAGCTTGGCGAGAGGAGTACGCGGCATCGACGGGGGAGCCTGCCTGCCGCGTCTGGACCCGCGGTAAGTTCGAACTAAGGTACTTCGAATTCACCTACGTTATTAACGTAGCTGAATTTGCGTACCTTAGTTCGAAATGGGGGGTTAGTGTGGACCAGGCCTTAAAGGTGCCACAGGACCCTCTGTTGCTTTTTACAGATTCAGACTAACACGGCTACCCCTCTGATTCTTAAAAAATAGTTATGAAAAATACCATGGAAGTATCTTGTTTAAAATTAGGCTGACCTATAAAACCAAGAAGTTTTAAACAGGATCAACTTGTAAATATATTAAGCCCTAAATATTTATATTCCTTTGTCACCTTTGCTTTTCTAGCATCCTAAGATTCACTCCTGAAACGTGGCCACAGATGTTGATACTTACTCAGCTGTTCCATGTTGATTTGAAGTTCTCTCAAAAACACAAGATTGTGCTAGAAAATCCTTGGCAAGTTTTCATAGCACAAATCATTGGACATTATGTAAGATAGGTTTGGCCTTCCAATAAGTGGAGTCATATTTTATTATTGTGTCTGTTTCTTAAACATTTTTGGTTTGGGGGGCAGGGAGAAAGGAAGAATTTATCCCCCTTTGTCTTACATTTAAGATCTGTAAATAAATGTCATTGCTTGTCTCTTTTAATCCTTAGGGCCAGATTTTCAATGCTATTTTGGCACCTAAATGCCTTTGAAAATCTGGCCTTAGGGCCCTCAGGGCAAGCATCTTGAGGGTCCTAAACAGAAACCAAGTCCATTCAGCCTCCACCCTCACTTCCAAATAGGAGCCCACCACCTGCCTTTCCAATTCTCCCTTCTCTCTAACTCTTCCTAGCAACAAGTCCTTCCCCAGAAGGACGATATTCTCACTATCGGACCTGTTTTCTTGTGTTGCCAGACTCCTGCTCCAATTCCCTCCACTTTCTGCCTGCCCTCCATATGTACGCTGCCTTGTAGCCTGAAGTTGATTTGGAAACTGGCATTGGGAGGAATTAAGGCAGATAAGAAGGGCAGGCCAGAAAATGAGCAAGCTTACTGGCACTGGGAGGAGAGCCAGGTGAGAGTTACAACAGGTAAGAGTCTTGACTCAGCCCCACCTTCCAGCAGCCAAAACTATATTGCTTTTAAGCACAAAACTCCAAAGTGGCCTCCTTCCCAACCCCATGAAAATTGGCCAATCCTCATTGTGTTAAATACATGGTGATCATCCAGTATGCAAAAGGTTAAAGATTAACCAATTAAATTTATCAATATTAGACTTGTGAAATAGAAAATACTTGTTTTAGGGGTTTGTTTGTTTGGGTTTTTTTTTTTTAATTATTGACATGCAGATAATGCTTTGTGTGCACTGATACATGAGCTAGTTCAGTTTAACAGTGGCAACATCAGTTTATGCTAGGATAGCCAACATACTAACACTGCAGAAGATGAGAGATGATCAGAGCTGCTGTGTTGTCACTGCAGGTTAGTTGTTCCTCTGCCAAGTCTCTTTTGATTTGTAATGCAAACAGATACCTACAAAGGAAGAGTGAAGAGTATAATCTTTTGATGAGCTAAAGAAAACAACTCAACACTACTTACACAATAAGCAGCTTCTACAAATATTCTTCAAAAAGTACATAAAACAGAACTCTTCATTTCTCAATGACAATCACATAAAATTAAAAAAGAAGTACATAACATAGCTACATCAAATCCCTAACCAATCTGGCCACATAAAGCAATTTAACAGTGCGATGGAGTCAACTGTCACAGGGGAACCAAAGAAAGGAAAAGCCAAGCTCTTTGAAAAGCTTGGCTTATCAGAAAGCAGGTTTTAGAAAGTTTGTTTCGACCTCAAGATTAGATCTCGGTCATGGTTCAAAAGGTTTCACCTACCCACACAGTGGGGGAGGTGCATGGCTACTAATATCTTATTAGCAAAGTATGCAGAGAGTAGGAGGAGTCTGGGGTCCTATAAAACTTCTAACTCAGCCTGAGAAGATACAGCACTGGGGAAAGAGGATATTGGACTTAAGAGCTTTGGCTGGAGCTTGCCTATTTAAAGAAACTATGGACTGTTCAGTGAGTAAAAAACTTTGGGCAAGCCAATTTACCAGAAGTTGTGGAAAAATGGGACTGAATGCAATAGGTGAGTCTGCTGGAGTAATACTTGTGTTCTAATAACTTGTCTGTCTGTCCTTCCTTCCCCCATCCCTGCCCGTATGTGGTAGGCAAATCCTCTTGGCCCAACAGTGCGTACCCGGAGATAAGTGCATTTTTACCCCCAATCTCTGTTTTAAGAATTGATAATAAACCCTTGAAACCTCAGCCATCAAACCCACAGACTGACTTGCTATTCATTCTATGGGAGTAACATCGGAGTCTTTAATTTAACTGCTTAGCCCATCCTTCAGACCACTGTTCAGATGGTTTGGGACTTTGTATAGAAGCTTTACTTGGAATGGAAACAGACTAACTGACTTTCCACTTCAAAAAAAAATTCTAAAATGAGCGTACTATCAGTTTCCTTGTTGATCAATCACAAAACCTGCAAGATACACATTACTCTTAATTTACAATTGGGGAAAACACCAATTATTTATATTAGAATAATTAAGGTTCTTTGATGTAGTCAGTGTAGAGCCCATTGTAGGTGCACATGTATCTCCTGTGCAAGAGATCACCGTCTTTTGAATAGCAGTTCTGTCAGGATTGAGCATGTGCCCTGTGGCTCCTCATGCTTCTATACCAGGGTTTTCCAAACTTTTTTGCCATGGAAAACTTATATTATTTTGTAATTGTTTGGTTTTCAAATAAAAAAATATGTTATTTATGCTCAAATATATTTTATTTTATAAAACAAAGCAAAAATACAAATTTAAAATAAACTAACAATTGAACTAACAATTTCTAACTGGAAAGCGCGAATAAAGTAGTACAAAAATCAAGTGCAAGAGTCAAAATTAGAAACAGTGTTATACTTTACAAAAATGTTTTTATATATACACACACACAAACACCAAACAAATTAGATTTATACTAGGAAAATCTATGTTTATAAACAGAAATACATATTTGGATTTAATGGGATTGGTGTTTCTGCGTTTTGCAGAAACACCAATTATTATTATACTGCAACAAAAACCAAATATAGGAATAGACTTGATGCTGCACCTGACATGAGGATTCAATTTTCCAGCATCACAAATTCGCTTAATATTAGGAATAATGCTGGAAAATTGAATCCTCATGTCAGGTGCAGCATCAAGTCTATTCCTATATTTGGTTTTTGTTGCAGTATAATATGAAAATCCCGGCTCACACAAATAAGTTGTAGCAAAAGGAAGGACCACTCGAACTGCACGTTTAGCCACATTAGGATACTCGTCTATTATGCTGCTCCAAAAATTATTCAGCGGAAGATCCTTAAACTTTTGTTTCAAATCAGAGTCAGAAATTACGTCAATTAGGCTTTCATAATCGTGCGCAGTAAAGCCGACTGGTTTGGCTGTAATTATAAACGGATTTTGAACCAAAGCATTATCATCAGTAGTTGTAGGAAAATATTCTAATAAAGAGGCCTGCAAGTCATGTAAGTGCTGTAAAATGGTGCTGTAAAATTCTTCATGGACTGTAGAATTTATTTCAGTCAGAAATTCATGTACTGTAGGAAAGCAGTCGAAGTTATTCTGTTCTACAGAAGATGCCCAGAATTCCAGTTTCTTTTTTAACGACAAAATTTTATCCATTATAGTAAAAATGGTCACATTCTTTCCTTGCAGGGACAGATTAATTTCATTTAATTTTGCAAAAATATCTGCAAGATAAGCAAGTCTCATTAGCCATAAGGAATTTGTCAGGCAGTCATTAAATTTTCCATCTTGAATTATCTGAAGTGAAGAATACCAGTAGTTCATTACGAACCTCAAAAAGCCTCACAAGCACATTTCCTCTGGATAGCCACCTCACTTCCGTCTGTAAAAGAAGCTGTTTGTGCTGACTACCCATTTCCTCACACAAAATTTTAAATAACCTGGATTGAAGTGGTCGAGATTTGACAAAATTGATAATTTGTACTGCTTCATCAAGCACAATTTTCAGATATGCTGGTATTTTTTTAACTGCAAGTGCTTGTCTGTGTAGAACACAATGGCTCTTAGTGCTTTCTGGTACCACGTTTATGATTTGCATTACAGCTCCCTTTATCTTCCCGATCATTGCCCGAGCACCATCAGTACATACATCAATACATTTTCCCCCAACTAATTTCATGCTTTCTGATAAAATTGTTGATGCAGTTGAATATTTCTTCTCCAGTTGTGTTGCTTTGCAGAGATTCACATAAGAGCAGGTCCTCTTCAATAATATTATTAAATCTATATCGGACAAATACTAGTAGCACAGCAAGACCTGAAATGTCAGTGGACTCATCTAGCTACAATGAATACTCATGGCAAATTTTCAGTTGGCAAACTAGCTCTTTTTCTATGTCATCATCAAGATCTTTAATACGGCGTGCAACAGTATTATTTGACAACTGTATAGTATCAAATTTCTTACCAGACTGCTTGCGCAACATGCATGTTACAATATCTTTTGCGCAAGGCTTGATAAGCGTTTCTCCAAAAGCGTGAGCTTCTCCGGCAAGCGCTACACAGTAACTTACTCGATAAGATGCCTCTGTTGCACTTTTGTTGTCTGTTTTAGCAATTTTAATCATCGAAAGTTTACAATTTCCAAGTGATTCACGCTTCCTCTTGAAAAAACTTATATCTGTGTCTTTGTATTCAGCATGCTTGGTTTCCAAATGCCTATGAAGTTTAGCAGGAGCCAATGAACGGTTTGCTAGTATTTTGTTGCACACGATGCACTGCGCATCAGGAACATCTTTACTTCCAACACACGTAAAACCGAAAGACAAATAATTTTCATTTTTTAACTATGATTCTTTCATGGAACACCTATTCACATCGTGCGGAACACCAGTGTTCCGTGGAACACAGTTTGGGAAACATTGTTCTATACGAAGGCATAAAGGGTGGAATGGCCATCACACTTCCTCAGTTCCTGTGCAATTCAAAGTGCATGTTAGCTGAGGTCACCAAAAGCAGGGATAAAGCAGGGGTGGGCAAACTACAGCCCACAGGCCACATCCAGCCCGTCAGACCTTTTAATCCGACCCTCGAGCTCCTGCCAGGGAGTGGGGTGGGGGGCTAGCCCTGCTCCACACGTGCTGTGGCTCTGCATGGCTCCTGGAACCAGCTGCATGTCCCCACTCCGGCTCCTACACGTAGGGGCAGCCAGGGGGCTCTGCACACTGCCCCCGCCCCAAGCGCCGGCTCTGCAGCTTCCATTGTCCAGGAGCCATGGCCAGAGCTGTCTGGCCGGCGCCTCCACGTAGAAACCGGAGGGGGGACATGCCGCTGCTTCTGGGAGCTGCTTGAGGTAAGCACCACCCGGAGCCTGCACCCCTGACCTCGTCCCATGACCGAACTGCCCCCAGCCTTGATTCGCCTCCCACCCTCTGAACCCCTGGGTCCCAGCCTGGAACACCTGCCGACACCCGAAACCCCTCAATCCCCAACCCCACCCCAGAGTCTACACCCCCAGCTGAAGCCCTCACTGTCTCCCACATCCCAACCCCCTGCCCCAGCCTGGAGCCTTCTCCCGCACCCTGAACTCTTCATTTCTTGCCTCACCCGAGACCCCATCCCCAGCCAGAGCCCTCACCCCTTCCCTTACCCCGACCCCCAATTTCGTGAGCATTCATGACCTGCCATATAATTTCCATACCCAGATGTGGCCCTCAGGCCAAAAAGTTTGCCCACCCCTGGGATAGAGGGTGGGTTGCATAATTCACACCAACATCTCAAAGAAGCAGTTACTGCAGGATAAGTAACAGTTCTTTACTCGGAGTTTGTGTCAGTGTGGATCCCAATGTAGGTGACTGGCCAGCAGTACACCTTCGGGATGGTCGGATGAGAAGTATCAGCTGCCTCTGTCAAACAGAGATTGTAGTACTGCTCTCCTGAAGTTGGCATCTACCCTGTCAGCTAGGTACAGTGTAGAATGCTTGACAAAAGTCCGGGGGGAGGGGGAGGATTACTCCATATCGCTGCCTTACCAAGTTCAGAAATTGGCAAATTTCTAAAACAGGGGGAGGATGTCACTTGAGCTCTGATGGAGTAAGCCTTCATGTTCAGTGAGAGAGGTGCACCAGCCAATTGTAAGATACAGTAAGATACATTGTGTCATCCACTTAGATATTCTGTGTGATGGACTGGCCTTATGGACTGCCCAACTATAGCCAGAAATAACCCAGAAGAATAACCAAGAAGCTTGGTTCTGTTTATGAAGTAATGTACGCCTCTGGAAATATCCAGTGTATGCAACTTCCCTCCTGATGTAGCGTGGAACTTCATGAAGACATCCACAGGCAAGTTAACTAATTTTTACTCCTGGGGGAATTCTGCATCACTGTGCGTGTGCAGAATTCATATCCCCCCCCTTTGCTTCCCCACAGAAAAATGACTTCTGACAGGAAAGCAAAGGGAAGCTGCAAGAGCCGTCATGCGCCCCTCTCGGCAACACCAGCAGCTTGGCTCGGTAGAGACGTAAATCAAAGCCGGGGGAGGGGGGCGGGGCAGTCATGTGAGAGAGAGAGAGAGAGAGAGAGAGACACACTGACTCTCGGCGCTCGGTGTGGAGGGGCAGGGCTTCAGAGTGTTTCTGAGGAGGTAGGCGTGGGACAGGCTCTATCGCTTCAGGCAGAGCAGAATGTAGCAGCCTGCCTAAGTGAATTGTTCCCATTGTCTTTTTCAATTCTCCCAGGAGTATAAAACAGGTGTAAAAGTTTTAAGGCTCCTTCACATTGCCAGAGGGGTGTAAAGGACAGTATGGCCTTATAAATGCTTATGGGGCTTTCGTGATTAGAACTGGTCTAAATTTTTGGACTGAAAAAAATTTCCTATCAAAATGTGCTCCATGAACTGTTTGCTACTGACCTTTCTGGAGATGATCAGTAGCCAATGTAAATTGTGAGTTTGATTCCCCAGCCCTCATTTGCTCTTCAGTTGTCTATGATGTAACACTGAGTATGTGGCTGCATATATTCGTTGACTAATAACCAAAAATAAAGGGCCAAACCTAGCTACATTACGATTAGGCAAGGGGATTTCCTCCAATGCTCCCCACTCCTATTCTCCATCTATTGTATTGTAGTTTAAATAAATTACCGAAATAATGGAAATCAGAGTGATTATATTGCCTTATTTTGACAAATAAAACATGCAGAATTTTGCAGAATTTTAAAATATTGTGCACAGAACTTTTAATTTTTTGGTGCAGAATTCCCCCAGGATTGATTCAAATAGAACTCAGAACACCTTGGGGTTGAAGTTTCAGCACTGTCTTGTGCCTATGAAATGCTGTGTAGGAAGGGTCACCTATAAGTGCTTGGAGCTCACTCTCTCTCCTGGCTGAAGTCTCAGCAACTAGAAAGACAATCTTCAGTGAGATGAAGTAAGAAGCACTCTGAAAGAAGCTCGCAGGGAAGCACCTTGAGTATCAACAGGACAACACTGAGGTCCCAGGCAGCAGCAAGTTCTCTGACTTCTGCTACCTTGGTAGCCAACTTTCTCAAAACACAAAAATCGACAGTGAGATCCAGCACAGGATCTAGTGCGCAAGTGCTTCCTTTAGGAAATTACTCTGACACACTAAGGCAGAACTCCAAGATCCAGGTCTATAAGACAATTGTTATTCATACACTCCTTTATTGATGCATTATTCATACACTCCTTTATGGATGTTACAGTAACCAAAACAGGACATGATGAGATCCCGGATGAGACTTTTAGCTGTCAGGCTGAATAGAAGAGGCTGTACCTTAGAGATGTTATGCAGAAAAAAAAAATCAGCAATATTTAGCCTGGATACAAGACCTTAGAGAGAGGTTCAAGTCTGATATGAAATCCAGGTTTCAAGCCTGAGTCACCTGAGGGTATGTCTACACTACAAAATTAGGTCGATTTTATAGAAGTCGACTTTTAGAAATCTATTTTATACAGTCAATTGCGTATGTCGACACTAAGAGCATTAAGTCGGCGGAGTGCATCCTCACTACCATGGCTAGCATCGACTTACGGAGCGGTGGACTGTGGGTAGCTATCCCACAGTTCCCACAGTCTCTGCCGCCCATTGGAATTCTGGGTTAAGCTCTCAATGCCTGATAGGGCAAAAACATTGTCGCGGGTGGTTTTGGGTACATGTCATCAGTTGCCCCTCCCCCTGTGAAAGCAACAGCAGATAATCGTTTCACGCTTTTTTTCCTGGGTTACCCGTGCAGATGCCATACCACGGCAATCATGGAGCCTGCTCAGCTCACCGTCACCACTGCTGTTGTGGGCAAGTCTACTGTGGGGGCTGCTGTGATCCAAGTAGCCAATGCAATCATTAGAAGAGCACAGCAAGTCGCACTGCGCATCAGAGAGGCTTTGAAAACCAGTTTCATGACTGGCCAGGCTTCGGTGTGACAGTTGTGTGTGTTTTTCTCCTTGATGGAAACCCACCCCCTTTGTTGATTTTAATTCCCTGTAAGCCAACCACCCTCCCCGCTTCGAAATAAAGTAACTATTGTTTTGAAACCATGCATTCTTTATTAAAAAAAAAAGAGAGATAATGGACAAGGTAACCCGGGTGGGGTGAGGGAGGAGGGAAGGACAAGGCCACATTGCTTATTGTAGCCACACAAAAAATCAAAGTGTTTGAATGACAATCTTCTGTTGCTTGGGCCATCCTCTGGAGTGGAGTGGCTGGGTGCCCGGAGCCTCTCCTCCCCTTCCCCCCCCTCCCCCTGCATTCTTGGGCATCTGGAGGAGGCTATGGAACATGGGGAGGAGGGTAGGCAGTTATACAGTAGATAAAGCAGGGGTCTGTGCTCTTGTTGGCTTTCCTGCAGCTCCAACAGACGCTTCATCATGTCCGTTTGCTCCCCCATTAGCCTCAGCATCGCCTCCTGCCTCCACTCTTCACGCTCACTTAATTCTTTCCTGGCTTCTGCTACTGAATGCCTCCATGCATTAAGCTGTGCCCTATCACTGCGGGAGGACTGCATGAGCTCAGAAAACATGTCATCATGAGTGCATTTTTTTCGCCTTCTAATCTGCGATAACCTCAGAGACAGAGAGGATACAGGGAGCGTAGAAACATTCTAAGCTCTACGATTCTGGAGGGACTGCATGGTCACCTGTGCTGCTGAGCTCGCCACGCTGACCGAACAGGAAATGAAATTCAAAAGTTCCCGGGGGCTTTTCCTATGTACCTGGCTAATGCATCGGAGTTCAAAGTGCTGTCCAGAGCGGTCACAATGGAGCACTCTGGGATAGTTCCCAGAGGCCAATACTGTTGATTTGCATCCGCACTACCCCAAATTCAACATAGCAAAGTCGATTTTAGCGCTACTCCCCTCGTCGGGGAGGAGTACAGAAGTAGATTTTAAGAGCCCTTTAGGTCGATGGAACGGGGTTGGTTGTGTGGACACAGTCGTTTTTAAATCGACCTAACGCAGTTAAATTCAACTTAACCCCGTAGCGTAGACCAGGCCTAAGGTTATGAGGAGAAGACAGATGGGGGACCTAGATTTGTGCTGGCAGGAGGAGAGGAGAGAAGAGAAGATCAAAGTGAAGAGAGGAAGAGGAGAAGGTAGAGGTAGTGAGAACTGTAGAGAGATGGGGGTAACCAGGAAGGAGAGATGAAGCCAGTTGCGGGACGGAGGAAGACAGCTGCTATGATGCAGAAGAAAGGTCTGGTGAGAGGCAGATGGACAAGATTACAACCAACCTGGGAAAGATCTGTTACAGGCAGAACTCTCCAATCATATTACCTGTTGGTGATGAAGGGACAGGACCAGGATACATTTACAGATAGTAACATGCTTAAGATATCAATTATTTACTAACTTTTTAAAATCTGACATAAGTAACATGCTAAATATGATAAGCATATCAGCAGAAACTGTTACAGATGTAATCTACTAACCTGTTGGATTCTTACTATTTGACAATTAACCATTTATTAATACATTTATCACTTAATCCTTCTAGAAACTATTTATACATGTACAATATAAAGAGTGACCATTTCCTCTATACAACTGCCTCCTTCAATGGTAACACATTGACATGTTTGGTAGGCAGAAATTGCCCCAGCTGACTTGCACCGTTATCTATTCATGCAAACTTTCACTAGTTTTTACAGCCACAGGCATCATCTACCACCTGAATCATTAAGATAGGTATTTCTGTTAGAAATGTGACTTTCTAATAGAAATGCTCCCCCACCTTCCCTAAAAGCTAACTTTTATTGTTATAACAGAGAAAATACCCTCTTAGGTGAGCTTATTTGTGTCTTCCCTTCATTTCCATATTTTTAACCACTAACGAACATTAATTACTTTGAAAGATATTTTACCTGGTATACTCCTCTTGCAGCTGACCAGGGTCAGGAGGGAAAAACTTTACAGCTAGACGAAGCACTGTATTCTTTGGTCCTATGAAAAAATATTAAACAGTTTTACAAACAAATCTCTATATAGAATGAGGAAAGGACCTATAACAATAGAATTTTAAATGAAGGAGACAAAACAGGCAGTTTGAATTACAGAATGTTCTGTAATGACCTACGATGATAAAATCTTACCAATAGCAGTAATATTGTGTTAACTTTGAATTTAGCATTTCAGATCATTGAACTATGTCACCTCTAATTAAGAAACGTCGTCACTGGATCAGAATATTACAATTGCTTATTGTACCATTACTAAATACTAGCACTCTGATTATCAAAGAAAAGGCTTAATGTTTTTCAGCCAATCGGAACACTAGGCAATCTTAATTTTAAAAGTATATTGTACGTTTATTAATAGCTATAGATATATACTATCTTACAAGGAATTACAGTAATTCCACTGAGATAATAATGACATAATTACTTAATTGTTACTCTCATGCTTTATCATCAGAACACCATTTTCATATAACGCAATGCAATCCATGTGTCATTTTACCACCCTGGGCTATCAATACCAAAAACTACATAATTTAGTATTATAGATGAGAATGTAATGGCATAAATTTCAGAAAATTTAAATTTATGGCCAACTCCCCATGTCCAAATGGTCTAGTGTTCCTTGTTTCTGTTTACAATTTCATTTTATGCTGCCTCCAAATTTTCAGTTTTCAATGACCTGCACAGAGGCCAGCAGGAAACCTGACAGGTTCTTAACCGAAGAAGGGGCCCAGGACCATTGCCACCACCCAGACGTATTCACCCCCACAGGGCTTACACACACACACACACAAGGGACAGAAACTGGGATCCCTACCAGATGTACACGCTTTATAGAAATACGCTTATGAATGTAAATATGACAACTGGAATATGTTTTATGCTAGATATGCCACGTAACATATCTTTGCAAAGGATATGTTCTACTACATGTATTCATCCTATTCGTATGCATGTATCATTTTTATATCTGAAGTTATGAGCGTTGGCTCTATGCTTGTATTTAAAGTGTTTGCACCTAAGGCAGATTTGAGCAATATAGTGTGAAGGAGTATTCAAGTAAATGGAAGTATGTGGCGAACAATGGACCTTGATAGATGCCAATCCACATCTGAGCTTTCCTGGGAATGTCCCTGTAGAGAACTAAGTCATGCATGGACATGTGATTTGCCCATGTGACTCCAAGACTCCATCGTGTAGCTGGGATTCTACACAGGGGGAGAGAGGGGTTTCCACACAAGAGAAAAACTATATAAAGTCCTGGGAGACCCCTCCATTGTGTCTTCAGCTGGCTCAAGGGGTAGCCTCTCCAGCCCCAAAGGATACCTGAAAGAAACTGGAACAAAGGACAGTAACTACAGGGGGGTGAGTGATTGCTGGACCCAGACTAGAAGGAGATTAGTTTGTAAAAGAAGCTTACTGGAACATCTCTGAGGGTGAGATTTCATCTGTAATCACTTTCTTACTGTATTAGGCTTAGACTTGAGCATTTTATTTTATTTTGCTTGGTAATTCACTTTGTTCTGTCTGCTTAGAACCACTTAAATCCTACTATTTGTATTTAATAAATCACTTTTTACTTATTAAATAACCCAGAGTATGTATTAATACCTGGGGGGGGGGAGAGGGGAGCAAACAGCTGCACATCTCTCTCCATCAGTGTTATAGAGGGCGAACAATTTATGAATTTACCCTGTATAAGCTTTATACAGGGCAAAATGGATTTATTTGGGGGTTTGGACCCCCTTGGGAGTTGGGTAGCTGAGTGCTGGAGACAGGAACACTTCTTAAGCTGTTTTCAGTTAAGCCTGCAGCTTTTGGGGGATGTGGTTCAGACATGGGTCTGTGTTTGCAGCAGGCAAGTGTGTCTGGCTCAAACCAGGCAAGGGCCTGAAGTCCCAAGCTGGCAGGGAAAACAGGCTCAGAGGTAGTCTAGGCACATCCGGTGACTGTTCCCAAGGGGGTTTCTGTGATCCAACCCGTCTCACACATCCTTCCACTTTCAGGCCCCAAAAGGCTGGAGACAGTCTACTTTAAATAAGCAGAGAGCCAGAGGGATAAAAGAAGGGCCTCTGGAACTCCCTTGTGGCTAGTCTGGCTGCAGCTCCATTAGAGCTGACTGAGGCAGCTAGCCTCAAAAAAATAAGACTAGGCCTCCTGATACTGTAATTTCCCCAACTTCTGCTCACCTCCTTTCTAGATCAAAGCAGACAATGTCAAAGAAGGAGCAAGCCAAGTGGAGAGAAAACGCCACTTCCTGATACCAGATTTCTCTCCCTTATATGTCATGCAGGGAACAGCCATACCCTGCCCATTACGGTACATAACATCAGCCATTTCAACACTAACGTATGCACATATATGCACATTAACATCTACTTTTTGTTTGGAGGATGTTGGTAGGTACAAGGCAAACCAGTGCAATTCAGAAACTATAAAGGATGAGGAAAAACAATGATCTAGAGCTGACAATAAGCAGACTAAGATCTGTGAATGTTGAAGACAGGTGGCCAAATATCCCAGTTTACTACCATTATCCTGGATGATTATACTGAAACTAGGATTTGTTCGGTTTTCACTATAATATTGGGACATCTGATTCCACTATATTTGCTGACAATCTATCCTCCTTTCACACACACGTTAATCTGGGATTGTAAGTAATATCTCTCTGGTGTATAATGGGAGAAATTAAACTGAAGAGCCATGTCACAGTACTCCCAAGAGCAGCTCCCAGCCCCAGAACTCAAGATCTTAGGACTCTGAAAGCCTTAGTGCATCAGACAAGTAGGACTCTCATCGTGACTACGGCCCCAACCAGAAGAAAGGAAGTAGGACATGGGATAGTTGGAGGAAAAAGGAGACTGTGAATAAAACCCCACTGAGTGAAATAATTTAAGGTTCCTATTTAGAGAAGATAACAGATCGACAGTCTTGAACACTTTAAAGCTCTCGGTGATGTCTCTCTAGAAAGAGATACTTCCACTACATTAGGCTGAAAAAATTAACATCAGATTTCCTGTGAAAGAAGACACAGCTACCCTCTGAAAACCTGACAATACATTTCAGCAAAACTAAAATTAGAATGACCCCAACATCCCAACCCCCACCCCAATATATTTGGGCAAGAATGTCAGGCCACACTTGACCTGAAAACAGTAAGTTCTTGGCATGTATTGGGGACAACATTGTGATTTAGAAAGTGGAGAATGTCACAAGGGGAACAGCCACTTTAGACTAGATTCTGACTAACAGAGAGGAATTGGTAGCGAATCTAAAGGTGGAAGGCAATTTGGATGAAAGGGATCCTGAAATGATAAATGTTGTGATCCTAAGGAAAGGAACATAAGAACGGCCGTACTGGGTTAGACCAAAGGTCCATCTAGCCCAGTATCCTGTCTACCGATGCCAGGTGCCCCAGAGGGAGTGAACCCAACAGGCAATGATCAAGTGATCTCTCTCCTGCCACTCATCTCCACCCTCTGACAAACAGAGGCTAGGGACACCCATCCTTACCCATCCTGGCTAATATCCATTAGCGGACTTAACCTCCATGAATTTATCCAGTTCTCTTTTAAATGCTGTTATAGACCTAGCCTTCACAACCGTCTCAGGGCAAGGAGTTCCACAAGTTAACTGTGCGGTGTGTGAAGAACAACTTCCTTTTGTTTTAAACCTGCTGCTCATTAATTTCATTTGGTGGCCCCTAGTTCTTGTATGATGAGAACAAGTAAATAAGTTTTCCTTATTTACTTTCTCTACATCACTCATGATTTCATATACCTCTATCATATCCCCCCTTAGTCTCCTCTTTTCCAAGTTGAAAAGTCTTAGCCTCTAATCTCTCCTCATATGGGACCCGTTCCAAACCCATAATCATTTTAGTTGCTCTTCTCTGAACCTTTTCTAATGCCAGTATATTTTTTTTGAGATGAGGGGACGACCTCTGTACGCAGTATTCAAGATGTGGGCGTACCATGGATTTATATAAGGGCAATAAGATACTCTCAGTCTTATTTTCTATCCCCTTTTTAATGATTCCTAACATCCTGTTTCCTTTTTTGACCGCCACTGCACACTCCGTGGACGTCTTCAGCAAACTATCCACGATGACTCCAAGATCTTTTTTCTGATTCGTTGTAGCTAAATTAGCCCGCATTATATTGTATGTATAGTTGGGGTTATTTCTTCCAATATGCATTACTTTATATTTATCCACATTAAATTTCATTTGCCATTTTGTTGCCCAATCACTTAGTTTTGTGAGATCTGTTTGAAGTTCTTCAGTCTGCTTTGGTCTTAACTGTCTTGAGCAGTTTAGTATCATCTGCAAACTTTGCCACCTCACTTTTTACCCCTTTCTCCAGATCATTTATGAATAAGTTGAATAGGAGTGATCTGAGGATTGACCCTTGGGGGACACCACTTGTTACCTCTCTCCATTCTGAGAACTTACCATTAATTCCTACCCTTTGTTCCCTGTCTTTTAACCAGTTCTCAATCCATGAAAGGACCTTCCCTTTTATCCCATGACAACTTAATTTACGTAAGAGCCTTTGGTGAGGGACCTTGTCAAAGGCTTTCTGGAAATCAAAGTACACTATGTCCACTGGATCCCCCTTGTCCACATGTTTGTTGACCCCTTCAAAGAACTCTAATAGATTAGTAAGACACGATTTCCCTTTACAGAAACCATGTTGACTTTTGCCCAACAATTTATGTTCTTCTATGTGTCTGACAATTTTATTCTTTATTATTGTTTAAACTAATTTGCCCAGTACTGACGTTAGACTTACCGGTCTGTAATTGCTGGGATCACCTCTAGAGCCCTTTTTAAATACTGGCATTACATTAGTTATCTTCCAGTCATTGGGTACAGAAGCCGATTTAAAGGACAGGTTACAAACCATAGTTAATAGTTCCGCAACTTCACATTTGAGTTCTTTCAGAACTCTTGGGTGAATGCCATCTAGTCCCGGTGAC